AAGAGCAAAGAGGGGGGTGCCTTGGCCCTCAATTGAGAAAAGGAAAAACCCCACAATCCATATTAGGGCAGCTTTTTTTTTTTAGTGGTGCAACCTAAAGTTTGCAAAACAGTGCGTGCAAGGTTTCGGGTCCTGCAGGATTCCTCGTCAGGGGTGCAGAGAATCTATGTGTGGAGTCGACTGACATTCTTGGGCTTTCCATCTCTGCAGGGGCCACCATGAAGGTGAAGCTGAAGAATGTTTTTGTCATCTATTTCCTGGTGTCCGTGACAGGCCTGATGTACGCCCTGCTGCAACTGGGTGAGTGGCGGAAGGAAAGGAAGACATGGACGGTGTTCGTGCCAGAGACCCCGGCCTCTGAGAACTGTCCCACTCAAGTCAGAGGAAGGGCTGTGGTCCGTTTTCACAAGAAATTAAGACAGATGCTCAGGGAACTCACCAGGAGGATTAGGTAGTGCTATCTTCCCTCTGTTTGTCCCAGGAGCTGATAAGCTGGAGGTATACTGCATCTGAACATGGAGGTTCCACAGTTGACTTCTTGATTACCGGTCCTTGTGTATCTGTTTCCCCTGTGCATAGGTTTGAAGCCATTAGTCCTTATTCTTGGCTAAGACCAAGCTGAAGTGTGTAATCCTAGGCACACATTTTGAATATAATAATATTAATTCTTCTTTAATTTTTGAATTATTTTAGGTTTTTAGCTTTTCATCCTGTGTTTTTTTAATGATGTAAGCTGCCTTGGGTCCTTTTTTTAAGGAGAAAATAGGATAAATATATGTGGAAAAAATAGTAGGTAATGAAGTCTATTGAAAGAGTAAGGGATTTACTAGCAGTTAACTGTGCAGAGGGTGATGCTGTAAGAGTCTGTAAGAGCATTTGCTTACTGTTTATTCAGCAGTGTCTGGGTGAAAAAAGTGGGCAGGTTTTCTGCGCCTTTAGTAGCTTTACAGGACGGTTAAGAGTAGACACCCACTAGCCCTTGTTCATTGTGAACCTTTGCTCTCTTTTGGACTCAGTTTTAAATAATAAATTCTTAAGAGAAGAGATGGTTTTCTGCTTTGTGATTTTGAAATTCTAATGCAGCTTCCCCAACCGGGATTCCTCCTGATCCAGTGGTTCCCAATCTGGGGGTCCCCAAATGCGCTTGGACTACATCTCCCAGAAATCCTGGCCGGCAGAACTAGTGGTGAAGGCTTCTGGGAGTTTTAGTCCAAGAACATATTGGGAAACCCTGTTAGACTATAATCATCATCATCATGTGCCATCAAGTGAATTCTGGCTTACGGTGACCCTTTCAGGGTTTTCCAGGTAGAGAAGGCTCAGAAGTGTTTTACTCTTCCCTTCCTCTTGGGGCGCTGTGGGACTGTGCAGCTTGCCCAAGGCCACCTAGGCTGGCTCTATGCGCAATGGGGGGGAATTGAACTCCCAACATCTGGCTATAGAGTCAGATACCTAAACCTGGAACTAGACATCCCATCATTCACAACCAGCATGGCCAGTGGACAAGAGCAATAGGAGGTTGTATTCTCACCATGTCCAATAACTTTGATAGATAAGCCACCAGCCTTTGCCAGCTAAAGCATATAGAGGAGTCTAGGATTGTTCCGGGAAGGTGGGAGGGGGCGAGTTGATATAAACGAATATTTTTGCATCAATAAGTATTTGGTGAAATTCTTTCGTTTGGCCTCAGGGCAGCCCTGTGACTGTACCCAGCACTTGAAATCAGCAAGTGACCTCATCCGTGCCAAGGAGAAGAAGCTCTCCCAACTGCAGAATGAGCTGAAGCGGCTGCAGGGGCAAGAGAAAGTGCCAGAACTGGGAGAACAAGCCCTGCCGATGATTTATGTTGTCACGCCCACTTATGCTAGGTGAGTGGAGTCTAGATCCCTGGAAGAAAGGAGAAATGCATGGGATACCCATGGAATCCTGCATTTCAGTGAAAAAAAATTGGATGCAAAATTTTGTCATGAATAATAGCTGGCTTGGTGATGGTATGTGTGAAGAGGATCTAGTAGATCTATTTATCTACGTGGGTCCATAATGCTAACTGGGGCTGCTCACAGGGATTGCATAACACCCCACTCCACCCCCATTACAGTAGCTCCACTGGCGGCCGATTTGTTTCTAGGCTCAACTCAAAGTGCTGGTTCTATAAAGCCCGAAACAGCTTGGGTCCAAGCTAACTCAAGGACCGTTTATGAGCCTGCTCGGGCATTAAGATCAACACGCGAGGCTTTTATCTCAATCCTGCCACCTTCACAGGTGCATTTGGTGTGGACATGGAACAGGGTTTTCTCTGTGCCTGCTCCCAGACTCTGGAACTCCCTCCCACTGGAGGCCAGCCTGGCCCCATCTTTGCTCTCCTTCTGCAAGCAGGTGAAGATCCTTCAGTATCTGAGATCAGTACAGTGGTGCCCCGCATAGTGACAATAATCCGTGCAGCAAAAATCGTTGCTATGCGGATTCGTCGCTATGCGAAAATAAAAAGCCCATAGGAATGCATTAAAACCCATTTAATGTGTTCCTATTGGCAAAAAACTCACCTTTGAGCGAAAATCCTCCATACGGCCGCCATTTTTGCTGCCCAGTAAGCAAAGAATCAGCCCGAAAACACAGCGGGCGGCCATTTTTTTTACCCGGCGACCATTGTGGAACTGCCGATCAGCTGTTGGGAAATCATCATTATGCAAAAATCGGTAAGCGAAACAGCTTACAGATCATCGCAAAGCGATTTTCCCCCCATTTAAATTATCGCAATGTGATCGCTTTTGCGATCGCAAAATCTTAATCGCTATGAGGATTCGTTGGTAAATGGGGCGCCCGTTAAGCGAGGCACCACTGTAAATTGGGTTCCCACCTTGCTGGGGCAGGGGGGACAATGTGAAGACTGCATAATTGTAAACCACCCAAAGAGTGCTTTAAGCACTGCGGGGCGGTCTATAAGCAGCACCTTTTGCTTGGAATTAATTATCGTCAAAACGTTGTGTTCTTAACTTGGGTATTGCAAATTCAACCGGTCCCTAGATTACTCAGTGATCCTTAGGAGATCCCTTGCAGCTTCTCAGTCCTTTGTCTCTGTGGGTTCCTCTGTTCTCTGTAGGCTGGTACAGAAAGCCGAGCTGGTTCGCCTCTCTCAGACCCTCATGCATGTGAAGAATCTGCACTGGATTGTCGTTGAAGATTCGCCCCTGAAGACCCAACTGGTCTCGGAGCTCCTGGCCCAGAGCCACCTGCGTTTCACGCACCTTCACGTGGAGACGCCCAAGGAGCACAAGCGGAAGGAGACTGACCCCAACTGGCTGAAGCCCCGGGGGGTAGAACAGCGAAACCTGGCCCTGCAGTGGCTGCGGGAGAACCGCCAGCTCAGCGATCAGGGGATGGTGTACTTCGCCGACGACGACAACACCTACAGCCTGCAGCTGTTCGATGAAGTCAGTGCACGGAGCGGGTATGGGGCAGAATGGGGTTTGTGGGGATGGGGAGGACTAGAAAGCCAACAGAAGGAATGATTCCCCCACCCCCCCCGGGTTATTCAGCGTTTCAGATAGCTTTAGGTCTCTGGCTGCGGAGCTAGACGGTGGGAGTTCGATTCCCCCACTGTGCTTTCTGGGAGAAGAGCCAGCCTGGGTGGCCTTGGGCAAGCTGCACAGTCCCAGGGCTCCCCCTAGAGGAAGGGAAGGGCAAACCAGTTCTATATATTCTCTACCTAGAATACCCAGGACAAGTCAGAATGCCATGCTGTGATGATGATGATGATGATGATGATGATGACAGTGACATTCCCATTACTATAATGCATGATCTGGGGACATGTGGCCCTCCAGGTTTTGTTGGCCTGTAGCTCTCAGCATCCCTCACTATTGACTATGTTGGCTAAAACTGATGGAGCTTGTAGTCCCACAATACCTGGAGAAATATACGTTCCCCTTTTCTAATATAAAGGAAACAAAACTTGTTATCTTGTCATTTTTTCAGTTCTGGTTGTGCCATTTCCCCCTAGCCTCAAATAAAGCGGGAATTCTTGTCTGGAGGATAAGGAGAGAAGCTGCTCGGAACGACATGGAGGTCTTGGCCCCGAGTGCCTTAAAATAATATTAGGGAAATGGCCATTCCCTCTGCCTCTTCTCTGCAATACAAAGAGTTCTGGGATCCTCCCAGAATTGATATGGTTGTGCGTTGTGTATAGTGTTGAACATTTGGAAAGCGCTGTTAAAAGGGCTGTTTGAACCGTGTGGAAGTAGCACTGAATTATTCTTGCTGGTGTTGTAAACTTTCCAGGGTGGGGAGGAGCTTGAGATTCCATACAGACATTTTATATGTGGTTTTCTCATGTTAAGTCTCCTGAACTCAATAGGCCTCATTCAGCTGCTCCCTAGACAGATAACTCAGTAGATTAGAGATGGGACTGAACTATGAAACCCAGTTGATGGAGATTTAACACAGCTTCCTCTTGGGCCTCTAATGATTTTTCTAAATAGTATCTGTTTCTCATTTTTAAATATCTGAATTTCAGTATATGTTCTGATCACAAGGGCTAGAACCTTGTTCTGGTTAAACAGAGCTCAGAAAATGGGGAGTATTTCTGGGATGGAAATGATTGCATGCTGAATATATTCTGTAGCTGGGCACTGGGAGGGGGGAGGTTTCCAACCTCCCGTTGCAGTGGTTATACTGCAGTGCTGCCGTCAGGACTCTGCTCATGGCCCGAGTTCAATCCCAAAAGTTCAGATAGCCAGCTTGAGGTTGACTCAGCCTTCCATCCTTCTGAGGTCATTGAATTGCGTTCCCAGCTCTCTGGGATGGGGTGGGGGTGGGGCAATGTGTAGCCTGCATAATTAAATGGGAAACTGCCCTGAGAGTGCTTGAAGCGCTATGGGTGATATGTAAGTGGGACACTTTGCTGTAGCAGAGCCGGTAACTCATGGCAGGGTTAAACCAAAAGAATGCCTGCCAGCGCAGATGGCATACTCAAGGCAGTGGAAATGTTGGGGGTTTGTAGGTTGGACAGAGGCTGTGTATCAGTGTGAGAACAAAGATAGATAGACATATATATGCAAATACAGTGGTGCCTTGCTAGACGATGATAATATCCGTTCCACTGAAATAGCTGTTTAGCGAAGTCATCGTCTAGCGAAAAGCATTTCCCCATTGGAATGCATTGAGACCTGTTTAATGCGTTCCAATGGGGAAGAATCGTTGTCGTCTAGCGAAGATCGGCCATAAGAAAGCCGCATTGCGAACCGCCGATCAGCTGTTTAAATAGCTGTCTTGCGAAGCTTAGATCCCGAAAACACCCTTTTTGCGAGCACGGAGGGTGCTGTCAAAATCGTCGTCTAGAGAAAATCAGTTTGCGAAGCAGGGACCAAACATTGCCCAGCGAAATTCCCCCATAGGAATCACTGTTTTGCGAATCACTATAGCGATCGCAAAAAGTCAATGTCTAGCAAAAAAACTGCCATGCGGGGTGACTGTCTAGCAACGCACCACTGTATATACATATATGGAAACAGAGAGAGAGAGAGAGAATATATGCATATATTTTTCAGTAGCTGTAGTTTTTCTGCTGCCAGAGTTGTTAATCTTTTCCCAAATGTTCTCTTTCTCCTGTTATCTCCCCCCCCCCCAAAAAAACCTTTATAGGAATCACTGTTTTGCGAATCACTATAGCGATCGCAAAAAGTCAATGTCTAGCAAAAAAACTGCCATGCGGGGTGACTGTCTAGCAACGCACCACTGTATATACATATATGGAAACAGAGAGAGAGAGAGAGAATATATGCATATATTTTTCAGTAGCTGTAGTTTTTCTGCTGCCGTAGTTGTTAATCTTGTCGCAAACTTTTTCTTTCTCCTGTTATTCCCCCCCTCCCGAAACTCCATCCAGATCCGCTCTACCAAGCGCGTCTCGGTGTGGCCGGTCGGCCTGGTGGGGGGCCTCCGCTTTGAGCGCCCCCTCGTGGAGAACGGCAAAGTCGTAGGTTTCTACACGGCCTGGAAGCCGAACCGACCCTTCCCGGTCGACATGGCGGGCTTTGCTGTGGCCCTCCAGCTGCTGCTGGCGAACAGGGAGGCCCGCTTTGACTTGCTAGCCGAACGTGGCTACCTGGAGAGCAGCCTGCTGCAGTCGCTGGTGTCTCTCGAGGAACTGGAGCCCAAAGCCAACAACTGCACCAAGGTGAGACGAGGAGAGCAGAGGTGGTCACCTGGGAAGAAGGGGAAGTGGGACAGGACTTGGCGTCTCTCTCTGGAGTGTGGCTTTTTGCCGCCTGCTATTTATTTACCTGCCAACCTAGCAATTTGAAAGCATGTAAAAATGCAAATAGATGAATAGGTTCCACCACAGTGGGAAGGTCACAGCGTTCCGTGTCTAGTCGCGCTGGCCACGTGACCATGGAAACTATCTACAGACAAATGCTGGCTCTACGGCTTGGAGACAGGGATGAGCACCGCCCCCTAGAGTCGGACATGACTGGACTAAATGTCTAGGGGAACCTTTACCTATAGCATTTATTTACAGTATTATTACCAGGTGATTTGAACAGACAAAGGCCTTCCCTATGCTTAGGGTTGCATTTTATTTATTTGTTTGTTTTATTTATAGCCCACCTTTCTCCCGATAAGGGGTCCCAAGGCAGCTCACAATATTAAAAGGATGGAATTAAAGCCATAACAAGTTAACCATTAAAAACAATTAAACTATACAGGGATTAAACTATACAAGTGAATGAGTAAAAGCAGGTAAACACTAAAAACTCTCTTTAAAAATGGCATTTCGGGACTCAATCCCCAGCTCAAAATCTGGTCAGGTTCCAATCTCGGTAGACCCACAAGGCTGTTTTCTCTTAACCCTTGCTTGGGGGCATCTAGACCGGCTCTTCACCTTCCCCAGCCTCCGGCTCGAGAACCAGGGCAAGGTATTCAAATGAATCTTTTCCGGCCTCTTCACAGGTTTGCCTTAATGGAGTGCCGCTTTACCTGTGGAACAGAGTTCACTAGTCCTTTCTATCTTGGTTTATAGTCCAGTCTCTCGTTTCTCGAGCATCCTCTCTTCCAGGTCCTAGGTTTGATGTAGAACTCCAGGATGTATGTCTCTCTGATCTGATTGTCCACCAGAGGTGGGGCACTGTTTTGCCCAGATGTTTGTCCAGCTGTTAGAACTCCTCCTTGCTGGTGATGCCGGCTACAGCTGCTGGGCGCTGTAGGCAAAACGGTCTTAACGGTTGCCTGTTAAGAGAGGGGGAAATCAGAGGGATCTTCACGTCTCTTGCTTATTGTAGGTGCTCGTCTGGCACACCCGGACCGAGAAGCCCAAGATGAAACAAGAGGAGCTGCTGCAGAAGCAGGGCCTGGGTTCCGATCCCAACATTGAGGTGTGATCTGGAGGTGGGGGGGGCTGTTCTGCGGTTTCAGTGGGAGGCGGCCTCTGCACGGGGCCCGAGGAGCGCTGGAGAGACCCAGCCATTTGAATCAGACACTGGAGCTTTTTCCTCGTCCCTTTTCATCCGAGGACATGATGCGTTGCAACGTCTTATTTATTTATTAAAGACCACGTGCCTCTCCGTTGCAATGCAAGAGACACGCTGTGCTTTGGAGGAGAAAGGATTTCCTGTATGCGCTGCTGTCTCCTCTCTGGGGAAGTGTCTCTACGTCAGTGTCGCTCTTCCTCTCCCTTTGAATATTTCTGCCTTGAATGCTGCAGCCTTCTGCTAGTAGGGGAGACAGCCTCGATCCCCGTATTGTCCTCTTCCTCTCTCAGAGAATGCCTCCCTTCTTCCCTGACCCCCTCGGTGCTTCACTTCGGAATGGAACTCTGTCTTGGAATCGCATATGCCCTGATGGCCATCTTCTGAAAGACAGCCTTCCTGTGATGGGGAGAGGAGGAAAAGGGATTTCGGCATCCCCCACAACCCTCACCTGAACCCCCAGCCCTGCCTTCTAAAAACAATTCTTGGGTGTATCATTATGGCATGGCTGTAGTTATTGTGTTATGCGTTTGCGTGCGCCCCACTGCCGAAGTGGGCCAATCTGAAGAAGCCGAGCTGAAGATGACGAGAAGCGGCAATAAGAGGGGGCGGGTAAAATGCAACCCCTCCCTGGAAGCTGTTGGACAACAACTCCCATCAGCCGCAGCCACCTTAACGGTTGGTGAGGAACGCTGGGAGAAGCAGTTTCCCTGAACATGTCCAGAGGGCTGTGTTTTGAGCTGGAAGGACTCCTCTGCAGCCTTTTAATTGAACGCCAACTTCCTGCGTGCTCTTCCCTTGTCCGAAGGATGCTACTCCCGCCAAGCTAAGGGCTCGATCCTGGGAAGGGCCGGTTCCTGTGCCCACGAGCCGTATGGGTCTCTTGCGTAGCCTGCGCCCCGGCTGCATGGGTGGGCGGCTGTTCTAGCAACATGCATGTTCGCCGTTCAGTAAAATGTATCGACTCCCACGTCTCTCCCGTATCTGCGCCTGTCTTGCAGAATTGCTCTTTCTCAGCCCCCACAGCTTTCAATGAAGGGCCAAGACCTTCAGCCCTCTTTCCCATGTACGTATGGGTCATGAAGTTCTAGGAACTATAGGGCAGAGAAGGATTCTGGCTACAGCCAAGCCAAGTTCTGCAAAGGGGGAAGTGAGATGTTGTAATCGGCATATATTTCTCCTGTTTTTTTTATTGATTTACATTTTTTTATTTCAATGTTTTGTTGGAATCTTTTGCATTCTTGTGGCTCCTTTGCATCTCCAAAGCCCGGCCTCTACTTCCCTTCATGCTTCCCTTCATGCTTGCTTTGTCCTCTTCCCAGCCAACTCTGCATCTGCTTCGTCTGCTTGTAAGTGGATTGCCCGAAACCTCCTGGGATCCCTCTTCCCTGTATACTTTGGCAGCCCTTGTCGTGTCCGTGCGAGATGAGCTTCTCCAATATATCCATGCACAACACCCCCCGTGTTGTGCCTGTAAATCCTCTTCACCTACCGTCCTCTGTCCCAAAGTGTCACCAACTTACGGCCGTTTGTGGGCAAAATACGGGGTGTTTAACTCTTTGTGAGCAAAACACCATCCTGGCATTACTGCCGACTGGAACAAGGGCTGTGACAGGCTTGAACCAACCTAGCCTTTCATTTATCTTTCCATCATCAAAGCCAGAAACGATAAGGTATTCCAGGAAAGAAGGGTGTGCCTCAGAGTAAACTTGAGCTTCCGTACAAAGCCTTTTCACTGTTAAGAATGACAGCCAGCATTGCATGACCCAGTTTCCGGTAATTTTAACATGTTGCTTGATAAGCTGATGCAATCAATATTCTCAGTTATGTTCCCCAGCAGAGGGTACACTTAAGGCTGAGCACGAGTTTGGTTTTTGTGCTGGGACGTTGAAGATCATAAACGAGAGCCGAATGTGAAATAGCAGTGTGTTAGGTAGAGAAAACATACACTCAAGAATGAAGGTTGCTTCTGAATGCCTGCTTAACCCAAAGCTGTTTGTTCGATACCTGACGCTCACAATCCAGCCCACGAAAATCCTTTCCATGTTTTCTCCTCCACATTCTTGCCATCCTGGCAGGTTAATTTAAAAACAAGGGGGGAAGGAATAAGATATTTCCCGCAGCCTCTGGGACTCAGTAAATACCTTCCCCCCCTTTTAAATCTCACCTTGTCCCCTTCAGGGTTTTGTCACGATTTGGGGCTCCCATCCCCACACTCTTTCCTATCGGGGCTGATAACGTCCCCGGGATCTTAGCTCAGATCCACTTTTCAGCACCCTACTGCTGTAGGACCCTTAACGGCTGTATATCCTTTACAGCAGTAACCAAGCCGCGGGTGTAGCTTTTCAATGGAAACAAACACAGTTCTATTGTTCGCTATCTCAAGATGTTATGATTTTTTTAAAAATCTGATTCCTCATGACTTGTGCAGGACAGAAATGCCAGGCTGTGAGTAACACTAGTCAACTGTACTCTACTGCAGATCTATATAATAAATAACCACCCTTTTATCGTATACTATCTTGGCCATTCTGTTTTAATCTTATCATGCTTAGATAAGCTTTTTTCTTCAGCTCATAATACAAACTTCCTTTTCTTAATGGCCTTCTCCAACTTTTTTACCCTCTCTCCAAACTGCTCCACCTTGACCGTCTCATTCCCAGTATCTCTACCATTCTCCATACATGGGATAATAATAATTAAAGAGGGCAGAGCTGGAAGGGATCCTATAAATCATCCAGTCCAGGCCCTCTCAAGGAGGCACAAGAGAGGAATCGAATTCCCAGCCTCTGGCTCCGCATCCAGACCTAAACCCCTGAGCTATCCAGTGGTTCTCTGTCAGTCATTCCACACTCATCAACCATGCCTTACCTGTCCATCACTCCACCCTACAAGCTTGCAATACTAGGAGAGACTTAAAAATGATTAAACAAATCTGCATGATGCTGCATCACATTTTATGTTACAGTGCAGTGCTTCATGGCAAATTACCTGCTCTCGGTCCAGACCTAAACCCCTGAGCTATCCAGTGCTTCTCTGCTAGTCGTTCCACACCCATATACCACGCCTTACCTGTCCATCACTCCACCCCACAAACTTGCAATACTGAGAGGGACTTAAAAATGCACTTTCTGATTAAACAAATCTGCATGACGACGCATCACATTTTATGTTACAGCACAGTGCTTCATGGCAAATTACCTGCTTCCGCTAGAGCCTGTTCTACCTTGAGCCCACCCCTGCTCTTGCCAACCCGCATCAGGGCTTCAAAAGGGATGCAGGAAACTCCACACCAGAGATTTTGGGAAATAGTTCAGAAATTGAGACTCTGGTGATGCCCATGTTAACCCACGTGTGGTGCAATTATATTTTGAATGCAAGGCTAGTACCGAGGTGGTAAAGATGTGGAAAAGAGTGCTCTGAATGATTTGCAGACTGAACACATGGAGCCCTAGAATAATTTGAGTGGGGCGTGTGGTGCAATTATATTTTGAATGCAAGGCTAGTGCCGAGGTGGTAAAGATGTGGAAAAGAGCGCTCTGAATGATCTGCAGACTGAACACAGACTAGAATAATTTAAGTGGGAAGGGGCCTTGAAGGCCATCAAGTCCAACCCCCTGCTCAAGGCAGGGATCCAAACCAAAACAGAGGGTTGTCCAAGTTTCTCTTGAATGTCTCCAGTGTTGGAGCCTTCACCACCTCCAGACGCCATTGGGTTCCATCGCCGTACTGCTCTAACAGTTAAGAGGTTTTTCCTGATATTCTGCTGAAATCTGACTTCCCGTACCTTGAGTCCATGATGACGTGTCCTGCGCTCTGGGAGGATCGAGGACAGATCCTGCCCCTCCTCTGTAGGACAGCCTTTCGAGTATTTGAAAAATGCTCTCCTATCTCCCCTCAGTCTTCTTTTCTCAAGACTTACACGAGAAGGTTACAGGATTCAGAGTTATTTTTTCCATCTAGGAAAATACGACTACCATGATAGGTACAAGGCTTGGAGAAAATGGATGCAGGGATAGTTTTTCTTGGTTTTTTAATAAGACTTGAACTTTGAGATCAAGTGAAATGATGGGAATCTTGTCGGCCCTGGTGGTTATTCTGTTCCTGTCAGGTTGCCTGGAGGAAGCTGTAGCTGTGTCATTTTTGCCTTGGGGGGTAAAGGTACAGGATGCTAGATTCGATGGGCCTTTGGAGTCTCCTGATGTTCTTGGACTAAAACTCCCAGAAGCCTTTTTTTAAAACCCCCAGCTGTGCTGGTCAAGCTTTCTAGGAGTTACAATCTAAGAACATCTGGGGACCCAAAGTTGGTAACCACTGGTCTAAATCAAGGTTGGGTCAAGGATGGCCTTCAGGATAACACTGGATCGCAACCCCCATTAGGTCTGCTGGTCAAGACTACTGGATATTGTAGCCTCTCAACACCAGGAAGGCTACAGCTTGCCCACCCTTGATCCTGCCCGATAGGTCTTCTCCCCCTTTTTTTGGACTATCACAGAAGCCTATGGTGGTGATCGTTTACACCCCCACTCATGTCCTGTTGATTGAAAAATCTTTCAAAAACAGTTGATCTCTCGGCCTGCAAAATTTCTCTCTCCAGGGCCAAAAGCCAACAGACGTTGCTTATCTGTAAGAACGTTTCCACCAGAACTTCCTCTTCTAAATACTTGGAAACGAAAAAGATTTGCGAATTTGGTATCCCTTCCTCAAGAGAGGGCTGCTAGCATGAGATTACCGAACGGGGGCTTCTCGTCTTTGTTCTTAGTATAATACTAGTTGGTAAAGAAGCAGGAGCTGGGTGGGTAGCTCAGTGGCTTAGGTCTCAGGCTGTGAAGCCAGAAGTTGGGAGTTCGATTCCCCCCTGGGAGAAAAGCCAGCCTGGGTAGCCTTGGGCAAGCTGCACAGTCCCAGGGCTCCCCCCAGAGGAAGGTAAAGGTAAAGCACTTCTGCCTATTCTCTACCTGGAAAACTATTCTCTATTGTCTAGCTGGAAAGGGTCACTGTAAATCAGAATTGACTTGACAGCACATGGTTATTATTCTTAAAGAAGCAAAAGTCGAAGAATACAGGGTAGGAGTGGGAAAGGCTCTGGTTTTTGTAAGAGTTAACCTGAGGAACAAGGTGATCAAGGGCCAATCCTGCCATTTCAGATGGGGCCATTGCTAGCCACTGGAATCCCGAGGAGATTTAGAGGGAAATCAGAATATTCAGGATTTATGTTGAGGATCATGGGTGGGGCAGGAAGCTGGGACTCTGGTTTTGCAAAAGGAGTCTAGCTGTAGAGTGCACCCAGCAAAATGGGAGCCGTTTGGAGAAAAGTCATGCCGTTCATAACGTAATAGGGCTTTCAAGGGAAGTGAGAGACGTAAGGTTTTACCAGGGCCAGGTGCACACCTGGCGAGTTTCCATGGCCAAGCTGAGATTTGAACCCAGATCTCCCGAGTTCCCCTAGTCTGTTCCTTTATCCACTACGACACAAGGTGTTTGGTATAGTATGTAGGCAAACGGTAATTCCTTTAGTTTATCTCTTGGCTACTAATCCCAGTTGATAATTCTGGTCTACTTTAGAAGGCTGTTATAAGGATGATGGAAAAACGACGTAGGATGGTATTCTTTTGCCTTGCCTGACTGCAGAAGGATGATTACTTAAGTGTTCTCCATTCCCTGGCAGATTTTGATGCATGTCTGGTCTTGTGCTGGTTACGAAACCGGTCATGTGAAAAGGGTCAGCGGGAAGGTCAGAAAACTTAAGTCATCCCTTATGTTCTGAATCCTGTAACAGCCATAATATTTAATGCAGTGTGGTCGATACAGAATAATAATGTTTATAATACAATTGTGATGTCAACTCAAGCCTGACTTATGGGGATCCTCCCGGGCTTTAAGGTAATTCTCATAATTTTCCCTGCGTGCACGCTCCCAGAGGGACCCAAAAAAAGTCAAGCCTTGATGTTGATCCAGGCAAAACAGTTTTAGCAGGTTTCGCCGTCACCAGGAGCGGGTCTTTTGCAAAGCGAATGGATCTTGATTGCAAGGCTAAACTGTTCTGAAATTTTTTGCAATGAATCGTTGACAGCAATATATCCCTTACTGGGAGTGGGGGGGAAATCCCCGTAACCTCTTGGAATGATAGCAGAAAATTTTCAAAAAAAGGGACAGAGTGACATGGAGGGAGGTGGTAAATGGCAGTATAATCTGTCACTCAAAAAGTTGTGTTCTGTCTCCCCACAGGCCCCCCCGCCCCCCAGCGTTCAATGGATTAACATCCTTGGCTTACCTTCTGGAGCTTTTTTAACAGACTGCTGAGTAAAGGCAGAAGTAGCGTTTTGAGGATTTAATGCGTGCCATAAAATATTATTAGCTTATTAGTTTTTATTGGGTGAACTTGGAAGAGATGATGGGATACACGTAATAAAGAGAGGGAGAGAAAGATTCACAGATACCACAGAAACATCTGCTTCCCATAGCACTGGAAGGCAGCATCACCCACGTTTAAATCCCAGACGTCAGCTAAGGATTTGTCACGTGACACATCGTCAGCCGGTGGAACTCACCATCACATGACATGGTGATCACTGCTAGCTGAGGCAGGGCTGGGAAATGTGTGGACTACAGATCCCAATAGGGGCAGCCCATGGTAAGGGATGATGAGACCTGTAGTCCCATTCCCTTCCTTGGGTTGAATCAGGAATGGAGATCCTGCGGCTTTCCCAATGGTTGTGGATTTAATACTGCCCTTGTTTGGAACTATTGGCCATGCTGGCTGAGACTGATGGGAGCTGGAGTCACACACCCCCAAGGAAAAACCAACACGAATGTCACAGGTTCTGTACCCTGAAGCAATTTAAGTGTTTGGAACTATTGGCCATGCTGGCTGAGGCCGATGGGAGCTGGAGTCACACACACCCCCAAGGAAAAACCAGTAGGAATGTTGCAAGTTCTGTACCCTGAAGCAATTTAACAAGATTGTGGCTTAATGGAACTTCCAGATTCAGTAGCAGTCTACCTCTTCCCACCCTCCACAAGGGAAGCAACAGAAAAAAAAAATAGATTTTTTTTTCTCCTTACTCTCCTATTTGGACCTTGGGGGTTAAGGCACCTCGGAGCAAGTAGCCGCTTGCACCCGGGGCCAGTCCTCCTTTACGGCCCTCCTTAGGGTCTAGCCTCTTGACTGTGCAACCAGGATGTTTGACTTGATGGGGGGGAGGCGAGGGAGGCGTTGGTGGCTGGCCAGACGGTGTGGTTTCCTCCCCCTCCAAAGCCGGTTTTGGCGGACGATGGGATTTGTATTCCGTGCCTCCCCGGAAAAGGGCGGACCGAGTAGGTCCGAGTAAAAGTCCCCGCCTGGCTTTGCTCGGTGGAGATGATGGTCCAACTCCTAAGACCAACACGGGGAAAAGTACCAGGAGAGAGAAAGAGATCTTCTTCTTCCTCCATCGGCTCCCCCCCCGATCCCAAGCGGCGGGATCATCCCAAGAGTGGATCCCCCCAAGAGTGGATCCCGGGGAGGGGGCTCTTCCCCTTCCCCGATGCGCCCGGGCGCGATCCATGCGTGGCGATCTCCCGCCTTGCGTGCGCGCCTTGCCTTGCCTTGCCTGCAAGGGAAAGGACATCCCGCCCTCTTTGCTTCCTGGGGGTGGGGTAGGGGAGGGGGGAGCCCGGCCCCCCAGCAGCACGATCCGGACAAGGGCGGGCTCTCTCNCTTTGGATCTCTTCCTTTACTTTTGTTGCCCCCCCTTCCCCACGTTGCCCCACACGCGCGACCGATTTGCCTCGCTCCCCCTTTCTCTGCGGCTGGTGGATTGGCAGTAAGCCGCCGCGGCCACACGGCGGCGCCGGAGAGTAAAGGGGGGGCCACCGAATCGTGGCGAGGTAGCCCACCGAGGTTTAACCGGGGTATCGCCAGCTAGCTTCGTTTCTACTTTTGTTGCCCCCCCTTCCCCACGTTGCCCCACACGCGCGACCGATTTGCCTCGCTCCCCCTTTCTCTGCGGCTGGTGGATTGGCAGTAAGCCGCCGCGGCCACACGGCGGCGCCGGAGAGTAAAGGGGGGGCCACCGAATCGTGGCGAGGTAGCCCACCGAGGTTTAACCGGGGTATCGCCAGCTAGCTTCGTTTCTCCTTTTTTTTCTTTCGCTTCCTCTGGGGATCTTGGCTCGGGAACCCTAAATGCGCCCTCCCACACAGAGCAGGGTGCCCAGACATGTGCCGGAGACAGGTGGAGTTTAGGTGAAAAAAAGAAAGGGGGGGGGAGGCTGGAAATTATATTTTAACTATTTGTCCCTATTTGAGAATCAAACTTTTGCAGTCCAGGAAGGAACAGGCAAAAAAACGGGATCAAGCCATGCATTTGGTTGCTGTAGGCATCATACTGGAGAGCGAGGCGGAAACCCTGCTGAAAAACAGAGGGATTTTGGGGGGGCTGTCGTCCTGAATAGATGCATTTGTTTCCCACCCACACTTTCTCCAAGAAGCGTGCATAAGATTGTGCTTTTACGTCCAAAGAAAAGAAGGGAAGACTCGGTCTGCCCTGGGCTGCATTCCAATGCATGAGGATTTTTATGCGTTTTATTCTTATTTCTCCTACTCTCGGCGCTGTGATCCGTTTCACTGTAAACTCCTGCTACTGTGGCGTTTCCAGAGAAGCTGTGACATGGGTCTGTTTTAGCAAAAGCACGACACAAAAAGATTTTTCAGATCCGCTTTTATTTCAATCTGAACTTGAGAGTGACTGCCAGACGCGGGGACGTGTTTATGTGGAGGAATCAAAGCTCGAAACCGACCGAAGCTCACGCCGAAATAAATCGGTTTGTTGTCCTGAGTGTCACATCGTGGCTCATCGGGTTGTTTTCCAGCCAGGGAGCAGCGTGTGGCTCGAAAGCGTTGCTGTGTTGCGTCGTGGAGCACGACAGACGATGTTGATCTTGCGAAGGCGTCCTGTCATCAGAAGAGGAGGCTCAAATGAGGTTTAGGGTTGCAGAGGAAACGGGGGCTGTCTTTGTGGGAAGTGTTTGGGGAAGTGGGTTCCTTGTGTGGGAAAGGGGGGGCGTTGACTTGTGCCAGGCCAGTGTGCGTCAACACAATCGGAGAATACTTGTGTATTTGGAGGACAAAACAAGACAACATCTGCACGAGCTGAATTTCGACAGGACAGTAATACGCAACCGTCATGTACGAGGAGTGCTCTCTCAGTCCACATTCTCCTTCAGCGAAGGCTGCAGTGTGTGTGTGTCCTGTAATGATAGACTCAGACACACACCTTTCATAAAATTACAGACTGGCCTATTTTATTTTGCCCCTCTCCAGTGCCAAGAATTTTCTCCCAAGTTCGTATGGATGACATAATTCCTTGGAATCTTCCACGCCGCACAACAACCGTGTTTTTCTTCCATCCCGGCTTCTGGGCAAAGAAACCACAGGGGCCCTCGTTCCTTGTCTGGGATCGGCTTTTGTACACAAACACGCTCGCTCGAGGCCCCCTGACAGCGTTCCAGGCAGTCCCGGGGCTTAAAGGAAGCCCTGTGTTGCTCAACATCTGAAATCAAAGTCAACAGGACGATGTGCAGGTTTAGGCCTTTGCATAGCGCAAATGCGGAGACTTCGCAACCACCGAGGTTCGACCTGTTTGTTCTTTATCCATAGCTTGTGACATAAACGCCGTTGAGTCGGCAAGCATTTGGGGGGGGGGATTTCCTTTGCTCACAACAACCCTGTGAGGTAGGACCCTGTTTTAAATTCAGTTTCGCAGTCGAGGAGTTGGTTAGGTTTGCCCCATCCCGCACCCTCTTCCGGCGGAAAACCTAGGCCTGCTCCACCTAGGTACGTCTTCCCAAATAATCGTTTTTAGGTGATGTTTTAGAGAAATGAACATTCAATCCAAACTCTGCTTTAGACGGGTTAAGAGATGCTCGTGAGGCGTGACTCCCGTTTAGCGCAGCGGTCTTTCTCTGGGGTCACGTGTCCGCGAGACGATGCGTCGTGCAATGGCCGAGGTTTCCTGAGTGAACAACTGTGGCTAAATTTCGGTCTTCTCTGCGCAGCCTGAGAAGGGGTATTGGGTGTGATTTTTAACAAGGGTGGCTAGAAGGTTTCCTCTAAATATAGCGTGAGGTTCCTGGAGGAGTTGCAGTGAACTGGGAAAAAGAGGTTTGACACCCACTTGTTTAACAATTTTCAGAACTCCTGCGAATTATAGTGCCGGAGTAAAGAACGCACGGGTTTAACTAGACATGGGGTTTTGGCGTGGAAAGATTGTGGGTTTCCTTCCTTTGTGGTGTTCTGGGCTGCCAACGTCTATCATTATAAATCGGTATTTTTTGAGATTCTGGATGCGGATCCTGGTGCAGTGGTTGTAGGATATCTTACTGGGTTCAAAGAAGCCCCGCAGGTCTAGGTCAGCCCCCCCCGTATGAACCGAACTCGCAACCTGAGACCTCTTGGACTTCTTTGTAACCGGCTTTCATTTTGGTAAACAGTTTGGTCTGGAAATAGTCCGCCCTGACGGTGAGAAACTTTAAAAACAAACTTTTTTAAAAAAACACCCAAACCCACACACCGATTTAGAAGCAGGAACAATCTCTTTGGTGTCACACCGCAGTCAAAAGTGCGAAGTGGAAAGTCCCGAGTTCGGGTCTCCGCTCACCCCCTGAGTGGGTGCTTTAAGCAAATTGTTTTTCAGAACACGGCCAAAGAGCCCGAAAAACCCACAACAACCATCAAATTATTTTTGGCCTGACTACACAAGAAACGTAGGCCTGTTATTTTCTAGGCCCCTTTCGCGTGCCCAAGCTGCTGATTTAACGGGAGAAAAACACACACCGTTTGTTTAGCTGTGAAATGCCGCAGACGGGTTGACCCTTGTTCACTGAAGATTTTTAAACCGGGATCAGGTGGCCATCCACCAGGGATGCATTCCCATAGGGATTTCCTCCTTTCGGGAGAGGGTCAGTCTTGATGACCTTTGGGGATCCCTTCCCGTTCGGCAGTTCTGGGTTCCTATGAAATGTCTCGTATTCACTTCCCCCCCATTTGCTGCTTTCCAGCAGGGCTGGGCAACAACAGCGTGGCAGGATGGGTCCCATTTTTGAAGGATCCTGCCCACCCCCAAAAAGTCGAATTTCAGCTTCAAGCATGCCAAATGATGAACCATCTCTCCGATTTTTGGCAGTCGTCCTAGTGCCGAAATACAGTATTCAGAAATAGGGGAGCAGTCCATGCTTGTCATGGTGCTCCGGGGCCACATGACAGAGCGCACAACTCCCATCAGCCACACATTATGGGTGATCTCGGCAGGCCTCTCATCCAGGAAGCATAGCGGCCGATAGATGGTTTGTGGATCTCGTTGTGTCTCCTGGCCCCAGACACACACACACAACCCGGTCCAAAGATCGCCATTGTCCTAGACATGTTCCAACTTTGGGTTCAAAGGCTCTTATGGGAAGGCTTTTCCTTGCTTGTAAGCAAACTAGTATGCAAAGGGGAAGTGGGTTTTTAGCGCAATCCGGTGTAACGAGGAGCCAGCCTGGTTGAAAGGCTGTGCAATCCTTACGAGCCAGCCTGTGCTTTAGTTTTATTTATTTATTTAGAATATTTTTGCTAGTCCGCAGTTCTCCTTAAAAAGAACCCGAGGACGGCTGACCTCATCAAAAGACAACATTCAAAAGCTAAAAACAGGAAGCACACAAATATTAAAAAGGATCAAACGGATACCACGCTAAAAACGGCAAAGAAAACCAACTCAAAAAAACCCAAACAGATTCAAAACAACATGGCACGAGACATCATTTTAAAACCCCTCTCAGACCGCCAGCCATTCAGGGAACGCCTGCCTGAGGAGAAAGGTCTTCATTTGCTTGGGGAAGGACAGCAAAGATGGGGCCGGCCTGGCTTCCAGTGGCAGGGAGTTCCAGAGTCTAAAGGGGCAGCCACCGAGAAGGCCCTCTGTCACTGCTCCCGGCCAAATGCAAAGGTTTTAAGATCAGGGAGACCCTTCCCTTCAGGCAGCCACTTTGAGAGATGCATTTGATGGGGGAGAGGACCGAGGGCTTTCTCCATGGCTGTCCTCAAACTCTGCACCTTCCTTTCCAGGGGGAGCTGCAGTGACCCCCCACTTTACTAAGAATGGGACTCATGTTGTGGGACTCACTGTCCAGCTGGACTTAAATCGCACCCATGACCCGACTCATGATTCAGAACTCACCCAACCCCCTCCTTTTTTCTAGTGAAAAATGTTTGTTTTTAATTGGGATTCGAACTCAGGACTCGGTACCAAAAACTCAAACTTGGTACTTGGACCCAAAGTCTTGCCAGCATCCCTGCTCTCTACCCCTTGAGTAGCATCCAAGACTTTTATAATTTTCCGAGGCCTTGTTTATTTGTTGCATTGATATCTCACTTGCTCTCCAAGGAGCTCAAATCCTTTTCTCCCTATTATTGTTTGCACAACAGTCTTGCGAGGTAGGTGAGGCCCAAGGTCACCTGTTCAAGTTTCATGGACCGGTGTGCTAGGAACCTTCAAGAGTCTCCCCCAAATTCTCCAATTAGAAAATACTGTCATGGCTAAATCATGTTTTCTTCCTCCTGCTATGCTTTAATTCTTTTCCCACTCTTTTCATATTGTTTGTTTTCTTGAAATAAACTTGTTATTAGCTGCCATTGTGTGCTGAATTGTGTAGCACAGTGCTGCTGCTGTTGTTACGTGCCATCAAGTTTCTTCCGACCCTGGAGCCTCCTCCAGAATGCCCTCTCGTGCACAGCCCTGCTCAGCTCTTCCAAGCTCAGACGTGTGGGTTCTTAGGGGGTCAGTCCATCTTGTATTTTTGATCCTCCTCTTTTCCTGCTTCCTTCCACCTTCCCCAGCATTTGGGGTTGTTTTCCAGAGAATCCTGCCTTTTCCCGACCTGCCGGGGAGCAAGCAGGTAAACAAGATAAACACTTTCTTCTTATCTCCTTCCTCGAGGTGCGTGCATGACGCACATTGTGAATTCCTTGCCCGTTCTTCATCTGAGCTGGGATCGTATTTCCGACGAATCGGCAGAAGCAGAGAGAAAAGCAAATGAGGATGAAGGAAAAAATCCATTACGAGGCGGTGTCGCGGAACGGGTGTTGTGAAATCATAGAGGCCTCCCCCCCCCCCCGATAACATCTCATCCTTTTTCAGCCTGCTCGTCCAAACGTAAATCGTAAGATTCGATTTTTATTCTAGATTTCTATCTCTGGAGCTGGTTAAATTTTGCTGTCTTCTTCTTCTTTCTAGATCATAGCGTCTCCTTTGTGTTCATAGTGAGTCAAGCCTCCAATCCAAATGACCAGAGGAGCAAACGCAAATCCTTTAACCCAGTTATTAATTTCACATACCTGTCGTTGTTTTGTGCTACCTAGCTGCGTCTGACTTAGGAGACAACCCTATGATTTAATGACCTCGGAAACGTCATTAACTGCCTTGCTTCGGTACAGCAGATGAAAAGCTGTGGCTTCCTTTATGGAGTTCATCCATCGTACGCCCGGACTTCCTCTTTCCCTGCTGCCTTCAACTTTTCACACACGTTTTTCTCTAAAAGAACAAACATGAGAATTGTACAAGGAACATGTCAGAGGGCATGCTTAAACCCAGCGGACCTCTGGGAACATCATCACACCCATCTCCTTTGGCCCCACGTTTTAGCTTAGGCTGTGGTGTTCAAATGTCTTTCAGCGAAGGCTTTATTTATTTTGACATGGGAACAGGAAGAAGAGGCTGGGGAGGGGGTTAGTCGCTCCTTTTCCCAAATTCCTTCACTTAGAAGAAACAAGCATTTATTCTTCCCCCACCACCTCACTTCCCGCCTGCAATATGTGGGTACAGCCGGGAAAATTCGGGCCTCTTTGTCGTCTTCTCCCTGTTTTTCTCTCTTGTGTAACAGAAGTGACTAAACACTGTGAGCAACCGGGAAAACCCCAGACTAGCTTATTAGCATGGCCTAAATCAATATGCAGGCGTTGTTTGCCACATACAAATCTCAAACTGAAGAAGGATGTTTTTTAAGGGGGGCGGTGGATACTTAACATGGTTTTATATGAGCCTTTTCTTCTGCAATTGTCTTGTGCAATTTTTATTATGACTCCTTCACAGGGTTTTAAAGTGGCTCCGGAAGAAAAGTTCTGTTTCAGAACTTCCAACTTTTCTTATGGCTTCTTCTGTATATATAAAAGTAAAAAGTAAAAATTTACTTTTTAAACTCTCTCTCTCTCTGTACTGTTACTTATTTGTTTGTTTGCTTGAGATACTTTTTCCCTGCCTTTCTCCTTAAAAGAACCCAAGGCGGCTTACATCATCGAAAGACAATATTTAAACCTAACGACGAGTGTACAGATGCTAAAAAAAAGGACCAATCAAGTACCGTACCCCCCAAAAAAACCCATAAGCAATACCAAATCCCATTTAAAGCTGTAAGACAATCAATTTAGAAAACCGCATTCAGGCCACGCTTATGGTCTCTTGCACTTTAGATTAGGCATCCTTCAGTCTCTTGAGAGACGATGGTAACGTGCTCTGCATGGAGGACTTGGAATAGCATCTAGTGTGGCTGAGGAGGCCAATTCGAGAGTGACCATCCCTTCCACACTGAAGACAAAT